TGAAATATGTCAAAATCCTTACATTTTAGGCATATGCTTTTTTAATAAAACTCACCTTTATTTTTCTCCTAGAATCCAAAAATCGATATATAGGGTGTTCCATTAGAAAAAAAACAACTTTGATGTGTAACTTTTTTTTGGGGACACCCTGTATAATTCTAGATATTTTTATAAAATGCTTTCAGTTAACCTACATATGCTGCCAAAATTTCATTTCTATATAAACTACCTTTCTCCTCGGAGCTTCCGCGGCGTATGAGCCGTATGAGACCCTGTATAATAGTAATTAATATTTTAAACAGACTGGCTCAAAGGATGTTCAATTAGCTTTAATTAGCAGACAATGCCAATTGAAAACGCCATAATAGCGGGAACTAATTTGAGTTTCTTTGGCACATCGATGCAGTGCGATCTCGTCAGAGAGAGCTACAACGCCAGAATTTAATTACGATGAAATCGGTCAGTTAGAGGAGAAAAAAATAGGAGATAGGCCTCGTTGTTTTGAACCGGAGGAGCTGTTTAAAATCTCATTAGAAAAACAATAGCGGCGGAAATTGCTAGCAATTAGTCAGAGTGCCGCGCGCGGCCAATCTGTCCCAGTCAGAATAATTAACTTAAAACGAGAAATAGGCAGAGAAACTTCTGGAAATTGCAGTTAATTTTTCATTAGAAAACAGGACACTTTGTTCTGGGAATCGAAACAGAACAGAAAGTTCTTACTATAATTTTGCTGATTTAGTTTAATAGATAGACATGTATTAAATAATAAAATGAAATTATACTAAATACTAGCGTGTACCAGCGACTTGGTTCGCGTCGAATTAATGATTTGTAATGGTGATGATAAAGCAAGGTAAGAATTTCCATTAACATACAAACTGGATAAAATTTTCTCATATTTATGTCAGCATGAGAAAAAAACAATATGGCAATATTATTATATAACTTAGTGTCTTCGAAGAATATTAAGAATTTTCTGGCCCAATCAAATTAACAACGAAGAACTGTGGAGAAGAACATCACAAAATCGAATAGATATCGAAATTAAGAAAAGAAAGTGGGGCTGGATTTGGCACATTTTGCGCAGACCCCACAGAGATATCGCTAGACAGGCACTTGAATGGAATCCACAGGGAAGACGTGCCAGGGGAAGACCAAGGAATACTTGGAGAAGAACAGTAACCTCTGTAGCCGAAGAGGTCGGGAAAATATGGGGAGAGATCAAGCAGACAGCTCAGAATAGGATCAGATGGAAACATCTCTTAGAAGCCCTATGTCCCACGAAGGGATGACGGGAACATATTTATATATATATAAGGGAACATATACATATATATATATATATATATATATATATATATATATATATATATATATATATATATATATATATATATATATATATATATATATATATATATATATATATATATATATATATATATATATATATATATATATATATATATATATATATATATATATATATATATATATATATATATATATATATATATATATATATATATATATTATATAACTTGGTAATATTCGAGGGGTAGTTTCATCTCATTGGAATTTGACTTTCGAAAAATTCGTTTGCCAAAAATAAGCTTTTTACGTCAAGCAGTTTAAGCAGAATCGTGGTTAATCAATTACCCAACTTTTTGGAACACCCTGTATGATTTTTTAAAAAAATTCAAAATATGTAAAAAACAAAATAAATTATGCGTCCAAGTGTTTTCCCAAAAGACTAACCGTATAACCGTAATATTTGAGGGGCGTTTTCACCCTCTGGGAATTTGAGTTTCGAGAAACCCCTCCATATCGAACCTCTACACCCACAGTCAATCCGTTTGCCAAAAATCAGCTTTAAACGTCAAGCAGTTTAAGCAGAATCGTGATTACTCAATGGTCATATTTTATGAAACACCCTGTATAAATTTATAAAAAACCTTAAAATATGTAAAACAACAAAATAAAATATACGTGTTTAAGAGTTTTTTCCGAAAAACTCACCGGTTTTTAAATAAAAAATATTTTAATATTTGAGGGATAGTTTCACCCCCTTAGAATTCGAGTTTCGAAAAATCCCTTCTTATCGAACCTAACTAACTATGTAACTTCTAACCCTAAAGTCAATCTGTTTTCCAAAAATCAGCTTTTTACGTCAAGCGATTTAAGCAGGATCGTGATTAATCAATGACCAGATTTTTCGAAATACCCTTTATACATTTTTAGAAAAAAATTAAAATATGTAAAAAACAAAATAAAATATACGTGTTTAAGCGTTTTTTCGGAAACTTGATCGTTTTTTAAATAAATATATTGTAATATTTGAGGGGTGGTTTCACCCTCTTGGAACTGGAATTTGGAAAAATCCCTTCTTATCGAACCTCTACACCCTAGAATCAACCTGTATGCCAAAATTGAACTTCTTACGTTGAGTGGTTTGAGCAGGATCGTGATTAATCAGTATATCAGTCACTTAAGGATTTTATATATTAATATAGATTATATATACTATACTAAATGAAATTTAGACAATTATATTATATACTAAATGAAATTTAGACAAAGATGTTTAAATTTGTTGTATAATTTAAGATACCGAGCAGCTCTTCATTTTATTTTATAGAGCAAATAAGGATTGTAACAGATATTTTATTTAGATTAAAGCTGCAAAAATTAGTTTAAACCGAATTTTATTATTGCTATGTTGGTCACATTGCGCCGTGTTCAGCAATGTTGTCCTTCATTATTTGACAATTATTATCCTAGTGTCAGTTATTATTTTGTATAATATCGTGTTGTTGTTGAATCTTTGTGAGTAATTCTCTTTTTTGCCTATTTTCATAGTCTTTTTTTAAACATTACACTTTTAAGCACAAACACTTCTTTTAAGAACTAAATTTTCGAGTTTTTGTATTGCATTTCTTGAACTTGTGTGTTAAAAATATGCCGAAGCATTTAAACAGTTCTGTGATTATTAGTTTGTGCATTAATAGCATCCTCCTCTTACTTGTTATTACCACTTGTAATAACAAGTAAGAACTTGTTATTAACTAAAATAACTTGTGGCGTTGTAAGATTGTACATCAATAAATAAACAAATAACTCATAATAACGCTTAGAATAATCTTCGTAATGGACTAGTTTATGTCAATATGTAATAAGTAAAATAAGCTATCAGACAAATAAATCAATTAGTTACTAAAATATTAGTTATTAATTTAAAAATAAAACGTAAAAATCTTTAAAAAATGAATAAATATATTGTTTGTCACTTTTCAATTCATCTCATAAATCCATCACAATCTGGCAGCTCTGTCGCCATCGCTTATCACTCAAAGTTGATCACGTGCATCAGAAATTGTTTTGAGATTACCATATATGTCTAATTTTTTTTAAGTACTATATATAAAGAAACGTAAATCATATCAAACAGAGTTATGAAGAGGAATTAATTATCTTCTCTGACTGACATTGTTTTTAATTATTCATCTATTGTATTCCTCTTTATTGAGTTATAACTCATCAAACAGCATCGGGGGTTGGACAAAAGCCGGTATCTCAGACGGTTTTATAGAGGTTAGTTCTCCATCTCTGATACCAGTCATACCGTAGTTTATGACACTTAATAGGTTTCGTCTTAGTGATGAGGAGTGTTGGTGTTTTCCCATTTGCCTTACAGAACATACAGGGTTGTTCACAACATACGACACGGAGTATTGTAGCTAAACGATTAGATTTTTACAAATTGTAAGTTTTGGGTTCGTTGAAGGACTATTAGAGCTACAATTTAAAAATATGTTTACAAGATACAGAGTGTCCCAAATAAATTAAAAATATCAAAGTTGTATTTTTTTAAATGGAACACCCTGTATATTATTACATTTTTAGTTTCTACGATTAAAATAAAGGTAAATTTGATTAAGGTTTATTACAATTAAACCTTACCGTTTCTGAAATATTTTCGATTTTGTGAAATTGCAGTATAAATTTTAAGGCTTTATTTCTCCGAGGGTCTCAATGTTTTTAATGCTAAATATTTACTGAAGTTTATTTACTGATCAGTTATTGTGTTGCAATAATAAAAATTTTACTACCTTATACAGAGTGTCTAAATATTTATTTTAAATAATTATTAGGTTTAAACGGCAATAACTTGTTTAATTTAAATAGAACGCCCTGTATATTTTATGAGAATCAGATGCACAATTTAATTATCTATCAAATTGTATTATACCATTTTTTACCTATCTCTTCAAGTTTCGGTAGAAAATGTATTTTCTTGTAATTTAGAACTCATTTATCAATATACCCATGGAATACTGACATTTTAGATTATTTTTAAAGATGTATCAAATTTTTAAAGAATAAAGATACTAATATTGTCGATATAGTTCGTTTATTTCATTAAAAAAAACTGTTTAAATATTTGTTGAAGAAGACCAATTAATATGATTCCAGTTTTCAAACTACATTAATTGACTGTTTGCGTTGATTAATAATAATTGCTCCAATTACTAGAAAACTGAATTATGTATGTGTATTAGACAGTGTGCTAAAAAAACTAACACCTTAAAAATTATATTTGATTTTTTGACAAATGCTTATTTATAACAACAGAGACGATCATTTTCATAACTTATTAATATAACCTTAATCAAATTTACCTTTATTTTAATCGTAGAAACTAAAAATGCAATAATATACAGGGTGTTCCATTTAAAAAAAAATACAACTTTGATATTTTTTATTTATTTGAGACACTCTGTATCTTGTAAAAATATTTTTAAATTGTAGTCCTTCAACGAACCCAATACTAACAATTTGTAAAAATCTAATCGTTTAGCTACAATACTCCGTGTCGTATGTGGTGAACAACCCTGTATAGCTGGAATATTTAAGAGAGTGATCCAACCTTTAATTCTGTAACTTTTATTCTAGTTTCTTAGTATTTATGTTCTTATACAAAATTATTTCTTCTGTTTCAGAAACTGCTTGGTAGGAAAGGACTACGAAATCAAAATCTCTGACGTAGGCTCCTACAGGGAGATTTACTCGCAGGATTATTGCAGAGTGGTTGGTCCTGAACCTGTACCCTTAAGATGGATGGCTTGGGAGTCAGCCTTATTGGTAAGAAAAATGTTCTTCCTTAAACCCTTTTTTTTGTAATTTAGTAATGATGACAAGCATATTAAATTAATTCTCAGATTGAAATTCTCTTATAAATAGATTAGTTTTCTATGAAATCTAACTGTTCTAACAAATATGTTGTTTATTTCAGGGTAAATTTTCATCCAAAAGTGATGTGTGGTCGTTTGCAGTACTCCTGTGGGAAATCCTCACTTTTGCCAGGGAACAACCGTTCGAATGGCTTAGTGACGACAAAGTTCTGGAAAATCTAGCCCAGTACTATGAGAATAGCGGGAAACAGGTAAATAAAAGTACATATTTACAAAAACGATTGAAATACACCAAGGTTATAACTGTAACCAAACCACGTTGCCTTCTAGCAAGCCAATAGAATGTGGAGTACCTCAAAGCTCAGTACCTACTAGGCCCTATTTTGTTTCTTTTTTTATTAACGACATTGCTAACATAAACATCAGTGGTAAAATATGTCTTTTTGCGGACGACACTAGCTTCACTTGGAGCAACAAGGACGTCACGGCACTTCATAGGATTACATCAAATGACTTAATCACCATTAAATCTTGGTGCGATTCGAACCTCCTGAGTCTCAACATTTCTAAAACTAAAGCTTTGTCGTATAAAAACTCGCTGCAGTCTTTAGTACTTAACAACACCACCATTGATGTCGTAAAATCTGTAAAATTCTTAGGGCTTGTTGTGGACAATTCTCTGAAATGGGACATACATATCGAAGCTTTGTCGAAAAAATTGAGCTCTGCCTGTTTTGCATTAAGGTCTGTTTCTAAGGAGCTTAACTTGTCAGTGGCTAGAACTGTTTATTATGCACTTTTTGAGTCGCACCTCAGATATGCCCTTCCATTTTGGGGTACGTGTTGTGCGACTCAATTTGACCGCATTTTCAAGCTCCAGAAGAGAGCTGTTCGATATTCACTGGGACTAAACAGCAGAACTCATTGCCAGGACTTTTTTGAAAAATTAAAAATATTAACTCTTCCTTCCTTATTTATATTTGAATGTTTTTACCTAATACACAAGCATGTGCATGTGCATCAGCTTCTCAAGAAAGGCCATCTCACACTTATCTACTCAGGAACGCGGAGCAAGATCTTTATCTACCTACCCCACGCTCAGAGTTAGTTAAAAGTTCAATATTATACAACTCGAAAAAAATGCACAATCACCTGCCATTTGAAATAAAAGTATTTATTTATTTATATTTATAACTGTTGTAATTATCTAATATTTCCCATTTTTTACTGTTCATTTCATTGTTTATTTTCTTTTTCATTATTAACCAGCATTAACTCATAATACCCTTGGAAAAAAAAGAACTCTGAAAGAGCCCTTAATGACAATTAAGACCTACGCGAAACAAAATACTTGCCCTTAATGCCCTTAATACACCATCGGAACGTATAAACGTGTAGCGAGGGAAATAAGAATAATAGAAAAGGGAGAGAATAATACCTTTATTACGATTTAATGAGATTTGCTGAAAGAAAACGTTGAAAAAAAGATACAACGGTATTGTGTGGCGCTGAATGAAGCTAACATACAAATAATTATATGTAAGGCAAACATACGCGTAAAAAATAGAAATAGAAATGGGAGTATAAGGTTATTGTGTACTGTAGTATTTGAATTTTATTGTGTAGATATAGGGTAAGTTTTTAATAGATTAATAGTTATTTTTTATACAAGACACAGATTAATAGTTATTTTTTATACAAAAAAAGTATTATTTAATATTTTTGTAATATATTAAAAATATTTTTTTTATTTGTCCTAATGACACATGTTTTACCATATACATGATATGGGAATTAAAACAAATCGGACTTCCATTGTTCTTTGTTTTTACTTATACCGAGTGCGTCTCAAAAGTGGCCCACCCCTATAACTTTTTTGTTTTTTCAGATAAAGATTAAGTTATAACAAAAATAAATGGATTGGAATGGACGTCCTTTGCCTTTTTTCTGTCATCTTCTATTAAAATCGAGTTTGAACACGTATACTTCTCTATTTTCTATAGATATAGATATTTATATCTTCGAGAGTAGTGTATAGGTGGTTCTAGATATTAAAGTGGCTATTCATAAATAAAGCACAACAATAAACTAAATTTTAACTAACCCTTTTAGAACACATACCGTGCGGGCAACTGTTACTTTTGGGTCGGCATTTACATGTGTGGAAGTAAATCGCATAGGGATCTTATTAAGTCGGAGTGAGAGAACTGCGACCGACGGACGCGACGCGCGACGGTGTGCTGTTGCGGCGTTGCCGATACGCCTTTCCCTTTCAAGTGAAGTAAAATCACGATCGCAAACCGCTTATTTTTTTCAACAGATAACTAAAATCATTAGACATGTTTTTGAGCATCTGAAATGGAATTATAAGGATATCGTTAGGGTGTCATTTTTTTATAACGAGAAAACGTCAGTAATCGCGATAATTTAAAAACTGAACTTTTTAACACATAACAGGCCATAACTCAAGAACGACTTTAGATATTGAAACAACTTTTTTTATTTTCAAGATCGGATATTTTACAATATGTTTACATAAGAAAAATTCGATAAGGTTGTTTTTTCCATTCAAAAATTGTAAACAATCCATCCATTTACTTTTAGAGCATAGCAATTTTCAGCAATCGTGTAATTTTTTTATTGATAAAGATTTTCACATACTGTCTACAAAGAAAATACAGCAGAAATATTAACAAAGTTCTTGAAAAAACTACAATCTATTATTTCTAATAGATTTCGAGATATCGATTTTTGAATTCAGAGTTCTAATAGCGCGACCACTGTCGAACACCCACTCAATTCCACTTATTTTTACCAAAAATGCAAGTGTTTCTAGCTTGCACTTAAAAAAAATCAAGCTAGAGGGAAAATTACAACGACTCGTTAATAAATAAACAAATCAAGTATCACGAGACGTAATTAAATCGTGAAGCTGAACGCATCACGTACACCTTTCCCTAGAACTTTAAGTACTGACAGAGGTATTGATTGGGTCGACCGGTTAATTGCGACAAATCTGCTATATCCCCTTCTACGTCTGTTAGCGATGTACACAGTTTCTCGGTTTATTTCATACGTTTGGCAACGTGTTTACTGTCCTCTCTTTGTTCAGTACATTATAAACGCATTGTACTCTTCTTACATACGGAAATCTCGGCCCAAGACTAACCTTTGTATATCCCTAAATCGAAATTTATCTGTATCTCAAACGTAGTAGTTTCTGTTAAATTTATATAGAAACCGATTCGTTATTATTAGGGCTCATGTTTTAATAAAGACCCTAAACGTTCAAGCTGTATAGCCAGTATATTATGTAATAAATTATTTACATCTCTCATGTCACCCAGAAATCCTAGCTATGATAGTTTATCACTTATTTATGGTTACAGTCGTTGGTTGTTGTACGCTTCTCGAGTTAAATTATGCATGTACAGTGCATTATGCATTTAGAAAATTGAAGAAAGTTGTTCGACGTCTGTATATGCAGTTAAAAAGTTTGTCTAACAAACTAAAATTAAATAAATATACATTTTTCTTTGAACGAGTCTACTTAAGAAATTGAAATATATATTTTTTTGGATAATGCAATTTATTTCTTTGTCAAGGATAAACTTAAAAGAAAAATGATAATGAATTTAAATTAAAAATGCAAGAATTCTAATGAAAGAACTTATATCCTTTAAAGGAAGAAACATAGACTTTTTTAATTTATTCCAATACTAACGTGTACCAGCGACTTCGTTCGCGTCGAATTAATCATTTGTAATGGTGATGATAAAGCAAAGCAAGAATTTCCATTAACATACAAACTGGATAAAATTTTCTCACATTTATGTCAGCATGAGAAAAAACAATATGGCGATATTATTATATAACTTGGTAATATTTGAGGGGTAGTTTCATCTCGTTGGAATTTAACTTTCGAAAAATCCGTTTGTCAAAAATTAGCTTTTTACGTCAAGCAGTTTAAGCAGAATCGTGGTTAATCAATTACCCAGCTTTTTGGAACACCCTGTATGATTTTTAAAAAAAATTTAAAATATGTAAAAAAACAAAATAAATTATGCGTGTCCAAGTGTTTTCCCGAAAGACTAACCGTTTTTTAAATAACTAATATTGTAATATTTGAGGGGCGTTTTCACCTTCTTGGAATTTGAGATTCGAGAAACCCCTCCTTATCGAACCTCTACACCCCACAGTCAATCCGTTTGCCAAAAATCAGCTTTAAACGTCAAGCAGTTTAAGCAGAATCGTGATTACTCAATGGTCATATTTTATGAAACGCCATGTATAAATTTATAAAAAATCTTAAAATATGTAAAACAACAAAATAAAATAAACGTGTTTAAGAGTTTTTCCGAAAAACTCACCGGTTTATATATATAAAAAATATTTTAATATTTGAGGGATAGTTTCACCCCCTTAGAATTCGAGTTTCGAAAAATCCCTTCTTATCGAACCTCTACACCCTAAAGTCAATCTGTTTTCCAAAAATCAGCTTTTTACGTCAAGCGCTTTAAGCAGGATCGTGATTAATCAACGACCAAATTTTTCGAAACACCCTTTATACATTTTTTTAAAAAAAAAAAATATGTTAAAAAACAAAATAAAATATATGTGTTTAAGCGTTTTTTCGGAAACCTGACCGTTTTTTAAATAAAAAATATTGTAATATTTGAGGGGTGGTTTCACCCTCTTGGAACTGGAATTTCGAAAAATCCCCTCTTATCGAACCCCTAGAATCAATCTGTATGCCAAAATTGAGCTTCTTACGTGGAGTGGTTTGAGCAGGATCCTGATTAATCAGTATATCAGTCACATAAGGATTTTATATATTAGTATAGATAAATAAATATATTGCACAGGCATCTCTAGAAGTTAGTAATGTATGGCTATCCCTTCTTTGATTATTTTTTTAAGTAAGTTTACCTAGGTGGAAAAAAACAGCATCAGAATTACACTTTTTTACACTTTTATCTTATAAAATTGAACGAAAGTTTAATTTTTATCGTAGTACCAGTTAAAAAAAGAATACAAAAAATATAATTTCAAAGTTATATGGAGTTAGGATTGGTATGCAAAATAAATTGCGAAATAAATCTAAATTTTCATGAGAAAAAATGTCGGAAAAGTTTCGTGTGCGTAACAAAATCTGTTTGAATAATTTTTCTAATTTATGTATGAAGTAATATTAACTTAATATTACTTTTCATTTTATCTTGAACCAATGTTATACGAAGCTGAAACAAAATGTATAATATATACAGGGTGGTCCGAACTGTATTCCGGAAACTTCGGCAACATATTCTGCAGATAAAAATGAGTAAAAAAGTTCGTATAAATGTATGTTGTAAAATGCTTAGTTTCGAGGATACAGGGTGTAGAACTTTCAGTTTTATTACGGTTTTTTTCAAATAATTTCTGAAGTACCGTCAATATTTGGATGAAAATGTCTGAGAGTCTTTTTCAACATGAGAAATTTGATTTTGATGCCAATATGGCTCCTACTTGTAGAGGGCGCCATCTACGTATTTATTAACTGGTTTGAAGAGCAATAACTTTTCGTCCGTACCTGTATAAAACTAGCTAGTTAAAAAATATACATTTGCGACGTTTTTTACGTAAAAAAGGTCTCTTGGTAAAAATCGCTACGGGTAATAGTTCTCGAGATATTTGGAATAGAAATTACCAATACCCGTCATCATTGACATAAATTAAACACGTTGACTAAATAGTTATTAGACTAAAATCATAAATTTGAAATGTTTTTGTGCCAAAAGTTCAACAGAAACTGTTTTATCATCATTTATTCGAAGAAAAAATTATATTCAAATACTACTTCTTCGTTTTTCTTGATAGAACAATAAACACATATTTAATAAATATTATTTATTAAACTATTGTAGGTTAATTAAATAAAAATAAACTGGTATAAATTTAAATAAGTCCATAAACTAAACCAAGCCATCTTGATTACAATTTTATTGAAATCGCTTTTTATTCAAAATCTGAGCGAGATAGGCATAGGAAACCCTAATATAGTTTGAAAGAGCATTTACATCTGCTTCGATTTATTTAAAAAAATACATAGTGTTGCATTCGAAATAACGAAGTTTTTATGTAAAATAAATATTTAAAATAAACCAGCAATTTTTGATACCCCTGTATACATTTAAGGAAGGAATAACATGTTTCTGTAAAGTTGATTTCCCTACCTTCAAACTCAGCACAAGAACTAATTCTGAAAAGTAATGTACAGGGTGTTAATAATCTATTCTATTTTAGCATGCAAATTTAAATATCTTTCAATATCGCAAAAACCAAAAATTTTAAACATATTTAACCCTTATAATAAATACCTTTTTTGGGCCCAAGAATCCAAAAATGAATTAAAATCATAGATTTAGGAAGAACAGATATCACATTTTGCATTTTAACCCAATCAAACAATCGGAGGTTGACTACGTACTGTAAAAACCAACTGAGATAGAGAAGGCGACATTGCCACATCTCAAATTTGCACCTATCTACTTAGTTTGATTTGCAGAAAAGGTGACTTTAAAACCTTCACCGAATATCAATAAATCTCAATTTCTTAATTAAATTAATAGTTTATTTTTAAAGAAGCATGCGTAATAATATGTTATTAACCAGAGGATATATGCGTTACTATTAAAGGACATGTTTACTGTTTAATGTGCTGAAACGTCTAGAACTATTGGCAACGTCGCTGCTAGTCTTCCAGAATGAAATGAGCCGTCCGTCCCACCATCCCTCGCGACGACCCTTGGTCCGTTATAGCGTACTACGTTTAGCTTACGGTGTGTTTGAAGTCGGAATCAAGTCCGAAGTGAACTTTTCAGTGTTTTTCAGTAGTTTTTGCTTTTGTTTAACGTACTTTTGAATCTACGAATTTTCAATATGGTACGACAGTGTCAAATGTGTGGAAAAATAAGCTCAAATTATCCGAATTTGTCTTTTCACAGGTAGGTATTGTTTCCGCCGCGCCGTAATCGCCGTACATAGGCGTCCCACAAGGGAGCCTCTCACAATTAAAATAATTTCTAATTATATTTGTTGAATTTTGAGCTATTAAAACAAGAACGTAGTAGCCGGTAATTGAATTATAATTCGTCTCAATTACAACTTAACTGTTGTAGATCATAACAAATTTGAATATAAACGTTGCATTTGAAACTTTATTATAAGCCAGAAAGTGACATTTTTTTTCTTAAAATTGCGTCATATTTTGGTCATTATATACGATATTCTAAAGGAATTTTGCTCAACAAATAAACCAAGGTGTTTACCCGCCCTTTTTTACATTTTATTGCATTATTATATCTGCCCCTTCGGCCTCGTTTATACAATTTTTTACCACCCTACCTTTTTTTTAGAATGGGACGAACTGTAAATAATTCTTAGGCTACTAGTTGTATACATACCTATATACAGAGTGACCCAGGCCTCCAAAAAAGCTTTTTACCTATTACGTTTTTGGTTTGTAATTCTTATTTCAATTTTTTACATAAGATGGGGGCCATTGTGACGCACATTTTCAAAATATTTTTGTCAACATACAGGGTGATTCAAACCGCAATACATATGCTTAATACAGTTCATGAAGATTGGGACATTTAACTAAAATTTGATTGTCTGATGAAGCTACCTTTAAAAGTAATGTTAATTATGCGACAGAAATCCCATACTGTAGCACACAGATTTGATACTTTTAATGATAAATGCCTTCTATTGAGAGACTAAAAGGTAATTGCCTCGTATCAGAACCATCATAATACAAGAAGAAGACCGAAAGTCAAATCTTGTCTTATATTTTCAAAAAAACACAATTTTCTCGTTAAATATTGATTTTAGGTATAGGAAGTTATTAATAATACAAGATTAAACAACTATTACACAGTACTTTACGGGAAGCTATCGATTGCGAACTAACTAAATCGTTACTAATTACTAATTTTAAAAAGTTCTTTTTAAGATCAAAAAAAGTAAAACTAAAACCTAAATTATCATTTTAGATTAGACGGGAAGTTCTAAATAATGTTGCCTATTCTAAACAAGAAAAATTTATTTATACGTTTCTAATTAATCTAACACATTAATCTTAACATCTCTAATTAAATTTGGACGCAAATAATATTTCTCTTTGCTGTAGGTAATTTTCTCAGGGAAAATACGTAAATAAAAATGACTTTTTAAGTCAAAAAAAGTCAAAAGGACAAGTTATTCTAAAAAAGGACAGGTGGCAACCCTAGGTATTTCTGGAATGGAAATTTAATGGCAAATCTACAACTTTAGTTTGAAAATATGTTCCGGCCACCTATGTTTACAAAAATGTCTAAAATGTGCTTTACCATTGCCTCCATATTCTGAAAAAAAAATTGAAAGAAAAGTCACCAACCACAAACCTAATATAGAACTGTTTCGGAAGCCTGAGTCACCCTGTAAATATTCAAAAGTAACTGAAAGTTTATATAGAATTAACTGAAAGTTTAAATTGAAAATTTACGTTGGAGCGATTTTCGAAAACTACCTACTAACGTTTCAACATAAGTATATGTGGGATATTAATTATATTATTATATTAGACCTTATAACAAAACTCATCTGACGAAAAAGTGTTAATCTAGTATATTAATATGGAGTAAACATTTTACTAATTACCTTACTTTTACTTTACTAATTAAATTCGTTCCAAAAAAACGATACGCCACTGGCCATTAGAACAATCCAAATGCGCCTAGTTGCCGGGGTCGGAAATTTTAGACTTCTCTGTCTCTTCTGTCCTTGTTTGACACATTGGAATGTTTGATACACTACCAACGAGTATTTATGAATGAGATGTTCGGTCTATATTTATAATGTCTTTGATTAAAATACCGGGTGTTCCATAAGAGAAAATATAACTTTGGTATGGATCTTAGTTCTGAAACACCCTGTACATTTCAAAATAATTTTAAAGTGTGCCCACATTACCTCCCCACATATACCCATAAAATATTTTGTTTCTACATCTTTCCGTTTTCGTATAATCGACCGAGGTGAAGGAGGTGCGCCACCCTGTATGTGCAAATATACCAATATTAACAAAAAAAATTCTTAACTTGTTCATGGCTTAAGATAAGGGAACACATGAACGTATCTCTAAATATTTAAAAAATATCTTAGTAGTAATATTTTGTTGATTTTTTTAAGATACATTTTTTGGCTGTTGCCCAGTGATACTGTCGCGACCTAGCTGGGGGTTGTTTGCTAGGGTCGCTATACCAGGTTCTCACTCTCAATCAAAACAACCATTGAACAAAATACACATTTATTTAATATAAAGTTCACAGTATAATACAATTTTGGGGAATGCCAAGACTTAATGGTTTAGTTAACTAAGTACTTACAGGAACATCTTCAGTCTGCGCTGTCTTCAACTAACGGACTGATAACGCGAATTACTGACCGTAATAATGCGACTCACATCGACCGACTGACCAGCTCGCCTCTCTTTAGCATACATTTTTATATTTCCTATCCCTCGTGGTCATCGCCTGTTACGTCGTTCAATCTGTTTTCATCTAATTACATTCACCCGGCTATGACCATGAGGAAATCGAACTTTGGTAGCCTGCGTTTGATTATCGACCCGAGATTGTTGTATTTTAATTGTTTAATTATCAATGTTATTTAAAAACATATCTGTGTCGATGTCATGCAGGTAACCGATCTCTTGGGCCTATATCAAATTGGTTTACTCGAATTATATTTTATTTACTAGGATTATATTATTTGTGTTTTTTCCCCAATTTGATCTAAACCCAAGTTGACATCTATTTAAGTCTTGACAATACTAATCATCTTTTTGTTCCAGATTTACCTGGACCTGCCGCACAACTGCCCCAAAGAAATCTACGACCTGATGCTGGAGTGCTGGAACCGCAACGAAACCGATAGGCCCTCCTTCAAGGAGATCCACCTGTTCCTGCAACGGAAAAATCTCGGTTTCAAGCCTGACCTGCGCTGACGGCATCGGCACGTGCAGGACCGGCTGCTGCGCTTGTACGACAATAATTTCGAACAGCTGAGCGACGCGCTGAAGACGATGATGTGGTGCGCAGATGTTGAGACGTAGACTATGTGGTGTAGTTTTTTGATAAATATATGCCTAGTGTTCGAGTCTGCGTTGGTTAGACTTTTGGTATAAGGATGTAATGTGGAGAAATGTTGAGAGTATTTTGTGTTTGTGAAGGTAATACTGAACAGGTAAATGCAAACAAATGTTTATTGCTTTCAGGCAAAGATGTTTTGTACAAAGTAGTTTATAATAGTAAGTTTATTTTTTTCTTAAAAAAAACCATCACGGGTGTATTATTTTTTGTGAGGTGCATATAAACAACAGGGACGGACAATACCGGGTGCATCTCAAAAGTGGCTCACCCCTATAAGTTTTTTATTTTATTAGATAATAAAACGAGATTTGGTATGTTAATACCCAAGTAGCATCTATCTGACTTCGAACTAAATCTGACCTGAAGCGACGTCAGACTTTGTGCAAATTTAGGTCAGGTGCTGGTGATACTACCGGTGACGTCGCTTTCCTATTAAAAACGACGTCGTTGGATCCGAGTCGGTAAATCCAACGATCTGTCGACGTACAAAATAACAACGTACCATTTTTATTAATTTCCCAACGTCGTTCCCACGTTGGCTTGCACGACGTACATATACTTGAACTAGCCCGACGTCTACCCGTTGTCCGAATAGGATACGTCACACTGATAATACCGAAAGTAACGTCCAATTATATTTTGTTGTATTTTATGTTCATATTTATAACCTAATTTACGTATCTCTATTTACGTCCGTAAATACAACCCATTAAGTAGCATTTGCGTAACTTAATTTTTTTATTATGCCTAAAAAAAACACTAAAAAGGCATTTAGACATTCATCTACATTTTACAGAAAGTGGTCGAGGCTTTTGCGAAATAATAATAGTAGTAGTGATGTCTTGTCTCCACCCATAAATGCTTTTTATCAGGAAGAGATGCTGCATTACACTGGTGCATCTTAATTTCATTTTTTAGCTTAGGAAACCAGCAGACCCCATCCTCCGCCCACATGTGAGGTACTGGTTCCAATTCTTTTAAATTTTGTATATATATACTATCTTAAAAAAGTGGCTGCCCTTTTTTTAAGGAGAAAACAAAAACTAAAATATAGTTGCACAAATCCAAAAATCACTGATACGCAAAGTGATGTTACGTGGCGTACGTTGGAATTATATACGTCATAATACGATTGCCGGTCGTCCGGTTTGATGACTTCGGTCGTGTGAGACGACTAATGTTGGAGACCCGGTCGGAATTGGTATATTGGTAGTTCATATTAAGTCGGACACAGAAATCCGCCATTCTTAACAAGTATTCGATTGTCAGCCATTTTAAAATCGTTTTTGTTTTAAAATTTATATTCACATTTCCATTTCTAGTAGAATAATATTGATAAGGTTGAGTTTGGGGGGAACCACAGTACAGTTTTATGATTAAACCAGCTAGAAAATTAAAAAAATATTTTGCGAGTTACTTTTTTATAGATATTTTTATTTCATAAATCTACCTAATTTTGAAGGCGCTCGTTGTTTTCCGGAGTATTTTAATCAGATATATCAAACAAGTGCCTTCCGTTGACAAAACTGATGTCTGGATTAATGATTCAGAATTATTATAATATGAAATTAGATAGGCAGTTATAGTTATATTCGAGGAGTGATTATGAATCCATTTGTAATTAGATAGTTTGGTTAGGTTTTTATGTATTCTTGGTAGCGAATATGAAACCAAACGTAACGTAAGTGCTTAGCCACGAATTTTAAGTGACTAAAATCCAACGTAATATGACGTTGGTAATTGGTAGAATTACATTCCCTATTAGGTCAGATACCGACGTCGAGGCGACCCGAATCTGTATTCCCCATTTAGGTGCAAATAAGGGTCGTCAGGCGGTCGAACCGACGTTGGTACCCGACGTCGGGTTTATTGAACGCGACGTATACCCAACGTTAGATAACGTCCAAATGCTACTTGGGTATATGACATAAATTAGGATTGATTGACGTATTCAATTGTTTTCTGTCACTTCCTGTTTCACAGGAAATGACTATAACTTTTGATTTTAATGGTACTGTCGCGTCGGTGTTTTGTTGCTTTATTCGAGAGAAAATGATACTCTCAACAGAATGACATATCATATGTCAACTTTTGACATTTTTGAATATGGTTTACTTTCGCACTAAAAGAGGTTCTACTGCAACAATGTTAGATTGCACGGTCTGCCAGTAATTTTTATGATTTTGCATCAGCAGATCTTTATTATTTGAAAAAATCTAGGTGGCTGTGTGATATACCTTTTGTTAATTTAGCACAAATTAAAGATTGTAGAGTGAAAGACTCAACAGTATTAAAAAGATACACGTTTAAAACATATTTTAATTATTACAGAATTAAAACTAGATATAAACCTATAATTACGTGATGAAAATTAGCTAGATGACATCAAATGCTCAAAATTCTTCCTTGCCTATTGTATGACACAAAATGATAACTAGTTGTGAAGGTTGGACTAACTAGACACCTATGTTGAAGTAACGTCAGACATATCACAGCCACCTAGATTTTATCAAATAATAAAGATCTATTCAGATCAAATCATGTAAATGAAAATATCTAGGAAAATCTTTGTTTGAGGGGTAGGCAACCTTAATAGTATTTTGAAGAGACATGAATTCTCCATTGAATATCGGAATAATATACTGGGTGTTCTATTTAAAATAAGAGAGTAACATGCTTTTAAAGGTGACCGATGTTCAATATTAATTTTGTCTCACCCTGTATAACTTTTTGGATCAAGTTTTAATTTGATTTAAAGTACAATAGTTAATTTAACTAAACATTAGGCTATACTGGGTAAATTCCAATTTAGGTAGCTTTTGTTGTAATTTAAAAATTGTTCTTTATTTTTAGAAAATGTTAAATATGTCAAAAACCTTACATTTTTGGTCATATACTTCTCTTATAAAAGTCACCTTTATAATTTTTTTTTTCTCACAGAATCTGAAAATCAATTAATATATAAGGTGTTCTATTATAAAAAACACAACTTTGATATGTAAATTTTTTTGGGGACACCCTGTAGAACTCTATATTTTTAAAAAGTGCTCCGAATTAACCTACATATGCTCACAAAATTTCATTTCAATATAAACTGTCGTTCTCCTTGGAGCCTCCGCGGCGTATGAGAGGCGCCACCCTGTATAGGGATGGAGGCTCCATTTTGGAAAACACACCAGGTATAGAGTACTAAAAAAGTTTAATTTAATTTAACAATCAAAAAATATTAAATTCTATAACCGGTTGTAGCAAAAATTTTCTTGTTAGCTAACATTAATTTTATGCATTTACAAGCTACAACCACAGATTAGGTATCCTATAAGTATACAGATAAAAATCTTGTCCGTAATTCGTGGTACGAAAATTGATTTTTATGACGATGTGCAAACGGGTAAAATTTCCTGTGTGCAAAAATAAACTCGCGTAAAATAACAATAAGCGTAATAGAGAGATATCGCTAAACCGAATAGCGGGCATGGACGTTAATAAGGCCAGGTGTTATTTCCTTTACGTGAGGTGGTATTAACTCTCTTCATTTATAGTTATCGGATCGGAAAGAATTCTGTTCGCGGCGCGTCCGCTATTTAAACTTAACATAACTTTGAATTTAAAACTTTGAAATTGTTTTGTTTACTAGGTATTTTAAAACTAAAGGGCTAAAGTGCTTATTTCCAGTGTTTCATTGTTCAACGTCTGCCAGTGGGTTTAGGACAACAAGCAGCAAATTCTCTTATAAGGGCTAAGTCGCCATCTGCTGTAAACCTAAGCCTCTTTATAGGTTCTTTAATATTGGAAGAGGCGGAATCCATATTTTGGGCCATATTTATTTAATTAAAACTAATCCCAGCTACTTAAATATCAAATTACCTAATAAAACTAAAGTAATAATTCAAAACAATTCAAACATAACCTAAAATAAAAGATCTCGCCGGCCGGCCCTTGTTGTCAAATACCCGCATATGCCCATTTAAGCAATTTTTAAACGTTATTTAGAAATAGCGCTTGGTGTAATTGATCCGCAAATTACGTCAGGCGGTAACGTTATTAGCGGGTGTTGCGTTAAAAATTGACTCGCGCATATCGTAACCATGATAAGGTACGTGCAAATACTGCATGACGCTATTCGGTTTTCCGATATCTCTCTAATAACTGTGCCGGTCAGGCGCTGTGCACAATTTTAGAGGCCATAAGTGGGCGAGCTATGTGCGCGAACTAGTAACCTAACTAGTGCCCGATTCCGAAAATTGGAACCACGAAAAAAAATAAAGAAAAAACAAAGTTTATAATCTGTATAATCTGTGCTACAACTGTATATTTAACTTTGTACATTTAGTTCTAAATCCAGTCATCAATCATACAGAATGCAACAGTTACTATTCTTTTATTTTTCCAACCGATATACCTCCTTATTCAAAGGGCCGAAATAAAGAAAAATAATAATTAAAGGTCAATAGCAACATTCTGTGTTGCGTGTCCAGCAACAATAGCTGTTCATTATTACGGACCGTTGTACGTTAAGTCAAATTAATTTTTAATATTACTGGATTTACAAGAGGTAGACTGGCCTGCAGCCCAAATCCGACACGTAAATCAGCAACTGGCGGTAATTTTGGGCTGATATCAGCCTTTCCTATCGGTATAAGTTTGGAATTAATTTTCAGACACGCCCAAATTAAAATAAGGAAACATGTAATTTTAAAATCGTTAAACAAAACCATCAAGAACAAAGTAAGAAGTGAAATAAAATTAAAGCCAAATCACACCACAGTAAATGCAAAAGTAGGTATTATAAAAATTTATGTGTATAGGGTTGTTTACACTTCGACATTGAGTATTATTATAGCCAAATGATTATATTTTTAGAAATTGTGTGTGATGGGATTTTTAGTGGACTGCTAAAGACTGCATTTTAAAATTATTTTCAGAAGGTACAGAGTGGCCTAAATAAATAAAAAATATCAAATTTTATTTTTTTAAAAAGAATACCTTGTATATTATTAAATTTTTAGTATCTATGATTAAAATAAAGGTAAATTTGATTAAGGTTTAGCGCATTTTAATCTTACCGTTTTTGAAATATTTATAATTTTGTGAAAATGCAGTAACAATTTTAACGCTTCACTTCTTTAGGCATA